ACATCCAGTTCTGTCGACAAAGCAAGCCGCTTTGTCGACATAACAGTGTGGACGCAAAGGACAGTGTAGATGCAATAATGCCTTCTATCGACAGAACTCTGTCAACAAAAGGCGTTATTCCTCGTAGAATGAGGTTTACATACGTCGACAAAACTGCTGAGTTTTGTCGATGTTATGTCGACATAACTCAAAGGCAGTGTGGACGCAGGTATAGTTTTGTCGACAAAAGTCCACTTTTGTCGACAAAACCCTGTAGTCTAGACACACCCTTTCAGACGAAGCTCTGTTTTACAACGCCGTACTGTAAATTTACTTGCGGAAGAACGCTCATGCGGTGTAGACAGCAGGCAAGTTTTTGCACAAGAACAGCTATTCTTGTGCAAGAAGCTGCCAGTGTAGACATAGTCTTAGTGATTTCAACTCTTTAGCCATCACCTAGGCTTGCAAAAGATTCCAGGTTCCACTGGAGTAGCAAAAAGACTCCTGGTGGAGTCTGCTTTAGGTCTATCCTTAAAACAAGTGGCGGGGGGAGGCAGATTGAACCAGTCCTACAGCTCACACCTGGCAGGCATGGAGCAGGCTGGCTCAAGCCCTTTCCCCTCTCCCCCAACAACATTCACTCAGTTCTGGAAGGGGGAGGCTTGTTCATGTGAGACCTCTTACAATGATGGTGTCTCTCCTGCAAGCACTGGTGTCATATTTTACAGTTCCCACATTTAGGGGTCGCATGATTTGTGACCCCCACAACAGCCCAAATTAGTTACAATACATCACATTCCGTTCTAGCAACCGATCCTCCATCAGCCCTGGCTGAATTGGATTTACATAACCACACCTCGTATTCCCTCCCCCTCTTGGCATGAGATGTATTTACACATCAACCGTTAATTATCTTGCAGGGCTAAACCATTTGAGTGAGCACACCCACCCCCAGGGCAGGGCTCTCCTTTTAGCTGGCTGATAGCAAGCAGGAGTTCAGCTCCTTCTTACATTGGGGTGGGGCCTCCCTGCTCCTACCCAGTAGGGGCACTCCTTCCTCAGGTGTCCCCTGTGCCAACAGGCAAAACAAGTTCTAGGTCCAGGCCCTGGTTCCCAGCTCTTGGTGCCTGGTTTCCCAGAAAGGCCGGGTGCCCACCCCCGCTGCGGCCAGACCAGTCCCTTCTGCTGCTCAGCAAGCTGGGCCACCTATGCCCTCCAATACACATCCATTTTCTTCCACCCACAGTTTCATAGGTCTCCCTGTGTGGCCTGATGGCCCGAGTTGGTCAGATACCCCCTTGGTTGCAGAGCAGCACGGCCCAACAGCCAGAATTCCTAACATTAACTCACTTAGGGTATGTCTACACTACCCCGCTAGTTCGAACTAGCGGGGTAATGTAGGCATACCGCACTTGCAAATGAAGCCCGGGATTTGAATTTCCCGGGCTTCATTTGCATAAGCGGGGCACCGCCATTTTTAAATCCCTGCTC